CCTTATGCCCTCTCACACAGATGTTCATTCTCTAACATTCTAATTATCTTGGAGTCAAAAAAAAAAAAAAATAGGAAATGCCATGCTTACTTTCCAGAGCCTCTTCCAGTACATTATTCCTTTACCCTTACATAAAAAAAAGTGTGTTCTTTAGAGGCTCTGGACCAACAGCTATACTCCCCTTTCCCCAGCCTTACTGTTAATACCTACTAGCTTCCTATCACCATTTGACTGTTAGTCTTGCCCTTCTGCTCTAAGTCCTCTCATTAATCATGTCTATATCCACTTGGAAATCCAATTCCAACCCCTACCCAGTGTTCCTCAAGGTACAGAGTTGTCTCAGATGATCTTAAAATGCAGATTCCTGTGCATCATGCTTAACTCTGAATCAGAATATTTGGGAACAAGGCCCAAGAATCAAATTAAAAGACTTAAGATTGTTAGGCTGGTCATCAAAACAAAATTTAGCTACATCTTACTTACAAGAGACGCACCATAAATATAAGGACGTAGGAAGTATGAAAGTTAAAAGATGTATATAAGATAACCCACACAAACACTAACTAAAAATAAGTTGGTTTAGTTATTTTAATATCAGACAACATAGACTTCAAGGCACAATGTATTGCCAGATATAGAGAGGGACATATTACAATAATAAAATGTTAAATCCTTCAGGAAGTTTAAGCAATCTTAAATTAGTATACATCTAGTAATATAACCTCCAAATACACAAATACAATAAAAAATGGACAGAACCAAAATGAGGACTAGACAAATTCACACTTATAGCTGAAGATTATATTTAATAATACTCATTGCTTAGTAACTGATGAAAGCAGACAAAAAAAAACAGTAGAGATAGAAAAGATCTGGACAAAATGATTAACAAGCTTGACCTAATTGACATATTTAGAATACTGAACCCAATTATAGAATATGCATTCTTTTTGAGTGAAATATTTACCAAAATTGACCATAAAGTGGGACATGGAGCAAATCTCAACAAATTTCAAAGGATAAAATCATACAGCATATATTCTCTAAGCACAATAAAAGTAAGCTAGAAATCAATAATTAAAAGATAATAAACATTGTCAAATGTTTGGAATTAAGCAGCACATTTCTAAACAACCCATGAGTCGAAGAAGAAATCATCATGGAAATTAGACAACATTTGGAACTGAATGACAATGAATAAAATTTCAGGGATGCAGCTAAAGCTGTGCTTAAAAAGAAATTTTGGAGAATGAGAACTCTAAAAGCAAGCCTGAAAAAAAAAATCAATGAAGAAATTACTCATTTTAACAAGTTAGAAAAAAGACAGCAAACTAAACCCTCCAAAAGTATAGACGTAATAAAGAGCAGAAAGTAATAAAATACAAAACAGATATATAATAGAGAAAATCAATAAAGCCAAAAATTAATCTATTGTAGACTTCTGGTAAGACTGATCAAGAAAATAAAAGCCACAAATTACCCATACCCATGAAATTACTCATGAAAATGGGATTTCCTCTGTAGGATTTTTAGTAATAGTCTCATGGTTCAATTGTCTTATTGAAAGACAATTAGAAGACAGAAAAACAATTTTGGGGGGAGCAATTTAGTATGAGATGGACAAATCCTTTCAAAACCATAAATTGCTGCAATTGACACAAGAAAAAATAGTCATTTTCATGTTTTCTTTAATGTTACCTAAAAACTTCCCACTAAGAAAACCTTAGGTCCAGATGTCTACCTGTGAATTCTTTTAATGATCTAAGAAAGAAATAACATCAATCTTAAACAAACTCTACAGAGAATAGACACAGAGATAATACTTTCCAACCCACTTTATGAGGCTAGCATAAGCCTGATACCAAAACTCCATAAGGAGATTATAAGAAAATGACAGGCTAATCTTTCTCATAAATTTAAGTGCAAATATCTGGAAAAAATACTAGGAAACTCAATCTAATGGTATATGAAAAGACTAGTACAAGAAGACAAAGTTGGATTTCTTCCAGAATTGCAAGGTTGGTTTAACATTTAAAAATCAATCAACATAAATTTACTACAGTAATAGAATAAAGCAGGAAAATCAGGATTATCATGAAAAATTGATAAAATTCAATACCCAATCATGATATCAACTCTCATCAAAATAGGAACAGAAGGAAACTTCTTTAATTTGATCAAATGTACCTACAAAAACTGCTACAGCAAACACCTCACTTAATGACATACTGAAAATTTCCTATGAGATTGGGAATGAAACAAAGACGCCTATTAGTGCCACTTCTATTCAATATTGCACTAGAGTTCAGCTGATTCAACAAGACAAGGGGGAAAAAACCAAGACAAAAGGTAAATAACATAAACAGACTGGGCTCTGGGTGGAGACAGAAAAAAGGATTAGGGAAGGGTAAAGGGAGGGGCAGAAAAACTGGACTAAAGTTCAATTTCAATTTCAAATCGTAAAGCACTAGATCATAACTCTGCATCTATTAAGCTTCTCTGTTCCTCCCTACAAACCTGTAGGCTAGATGAAGAAGGTATTATTTACCTCTATTTTGCAGATGATATAACTAAGCCACAGAGAGGTAAATTGAGTAAGGTCACTCTTTAAGAAGCAAAAGGCAACTGACCCAGGAAGTGGGAGTTTAAATCTAAGTTTCTTTTCAGCATGTCTTTCTTTTCAATACATCATGTGCTTTTACAGAAGGGTAGCTAGAAAAGTTCAAGGGGAGATTTTGTTCAGAACTTGCTATTGGTTCTCCCAAACCTAAATAAAGCTGCCACTGGATTTAGGAACATGGTAGAATGAAAAGACAGACCTCTCCTACTTCAAAATCACAGAAATGTTATAAAAATAAGAGAGAGAGAGTGAGACAGACATACAGAGGGGACTAGCTCAAGAGAAAGTTAAGAGAAAGAAAGGAATATCCGCCAGATGCTATAAATGAAGAAGAAACTTAAAATCCGAGTGAGAAGTGGGAACTGACACAGATTCAGATATAGCTTCAGGGGTTGGTGCCTGGAGTCTTAGTGTCCATCCAGGAATAGCAGACCTGTTTTCCAGCTTTGAAGGTAAGAGTATATGTGGGTGAGTGATAAAGACCAGAGTACAGTTCCCTTCTTGAAATCTGGACCCTTGATGAGCTGCCCAGTGAGTGAAATTAGAGAGTTGGAAAAACTTTGTCCAAAGGCTCAATGAAGCAGAAAAAACTTTCTATTTGTCAAGAACCTCAGGTAGGTTGGTAGAGTAAATAAAGCATCCACAAGAAATGGAAAACATAGGCCTGTGCTACAATTGGATGCTGGAGGAATTTACATTAACTAGATGGCATAGAAACTCAGAGTTTAGAAATTGAAATCCCTAGGGCCCTGGCAGCAACAGAAATGAAAGGCTCTGTATAGGGATATTTTCACAACACAGCATATAGGACTTCCAAGGGAGAGGAAAAAAATCCTGCTGAAGATGTGATCATCTTCAAAGAATTACTAATACAAACCACACAAGGAGATACATTTCCATGAAGTAGAGTAGCATGTACGGCAAATAGGATAACTATCCTCACTCCAGAAAAAATAGAACAATCCAAAAGAAACCATAAAATAAGCATGTTGAAAATGATTAAAATAAAAAGTAGATACCATAAGATCAGGACAGTCTGAAAAATTTTTACACTTGAAAAAGAACCAGAAGGAACAATCTAGAAATTAAAAACCATAGTTACTTGAAATGAAAAACTGAGTGGATATTGTTAAAAAGCAGATTAGACATAGCTGAAGAGATTCTTAGTTAACTGGAAGGCAGATGAGTACATCATCCAGAATGCAGCAAGGAGAAATAAAGAATAAAAAGCATGACAGTGCAATTAACAAATATGGGGGACAAAAATCTAACAGAAGTTCAAAAGAGAGGGATAGAGGCAATGAGGAAAGACAGATAATGGCTTAAATCTTGAAAAATGAAGACATGAGAAGCATGACAACTTCTGAATAGGATGAATAAAAACTAATCCACACCTAGACATGCGTTAGCAAAACTACAGAACATC